GCCCTGCTCCAAGCCTCCACGGTATGGCTGGGGGCAGGCCCCCAGCAGACACGCACACTCACACACAGAGCACCTGCTCTGAGCCTCCAATGCGGCTGGGGGCAGGCCCTCAGTGGACACATACATACGCACACACAGGACCCCTGCTCCGAGCCTCTGCTGCAAGACTGTGGCCGTCAGTAGGACATCCACTGAGGGCTCCTGGACTGTGAGAGGGGCAGGCTGGGCTGAGGGAACCCCACCCTCCTGTGCATGAATTTCGTGCTCCAGGCCTCTAGTTTTTAAATAAAATGATAGGCTAAATTTGGGAAATTCTTTGTTAATAAATCACTTAGAAGAATTAGCTGTTTCATTCATTTGAATCAAAACCTGTCCATATATGCAAAATATCTGTGTTGATTTCCCATATTGAATAGGTAACATTCTATTGTGAAAATATCTTTGATAAAAAGTAGCAATTCATTCCTAGTCTTTTAAATTTATTTCAGAGAGGAAAGGAGATGGAGAGAGAGATAGAAACATCAATGATGAGAGAGAATCATTGATCGGCTGGCTCATAGATGTCGCCACTGGGGTGATGAGAGAGAATCATTGATCGGCTGCCTCCTGCTTGCCCCCACTGGGGATCGAGCCCGCAACCCAGGCATGTGCCCTTGACTGGATCTGAACCTGGGACCCTTCAGTCCATAGGCTGACGCTCTATCTTCTGAGCCAAACCAGCTAGGGCTGGACTTACATTTTTAATACTGCTAAGATATTTGTTTTTTGTGTCTTTAAGTTATACATATTACAATTCAAAATGTAGGTTAAATTATTGTCTTTATTCCTTTCTAGGGTTACTCCTGAAAGAGAAATGGGAAGCTTTTGGTCTTAGACTTGACCATGCCCAACAACAGATGAAAATGACTGAAAATGCCCTCTTGTTTGCATTTGTAGAGGTATTTTGCTTTAGTTATTAAGGTTAAGGGACTGTTGATTTGATGCAAAATGCAAGTTTTAGACTGGCTTCTATTTTGTATTCTCTTAATGTTGATATTTTTAGTGCTTGCTGCCCAAGACTTAAACACTTAATTGAAATAATGTATTGGGGGAAGGTTTTGAAAAATGTTCTTTATTGAGATTATAGTCTTGGTAAACTATTATTATTATTATTATTATTATTATTATTAACACTATTATTTTTAAATTGGAAGTTAATCCAGTTTAAGAACCCATTGTGGCCCTTGAGTCAAAAAGTTTGCCCACCCCTGGTTTAAACCTATTTCATGACTTAGCATTACACTGGAGTTTAATACATTTGTTCTTTTTTTTTAAAGAATAGTTTATTTTTAGAGAAAGGGAGAGAGAGACAGATAGGCAGATATCGACCAGCTGCCTCCTGTATGCCTACTACCGGGGATGGAGCCTGCAATCTGGGTATGTGCCCTCATTGGTAATCAAACCGGCAACTTCTCTGTGCTTGCGATGATGCTCAGCCGACTGAGCAACACTGACCAGGGCTGTTCTTTTTAAAAAAATTAAATTTGTAGATAATTTGTCAGGATTATTGTGAAGACAAAAGTATAAAGCTTTTTTTTTTTTTTTAAATCCTCACCGGAAGATATTTTTCCATTGATTTTTATAGAGAGTGGAAGAGAGAGGGAAAAACAAATACTGAGAGAAACACATTGATTGGTTGCCTCCTGCACACGCCTTGACCAGGGCCCAGGCCAGGGAGGAACCTGCAACCGAGGTTATGTGCCCTTGACTGGAATCGAACCTGGGATCCTTGAGTCCGCAGGCTGATTTCTATCCACTGAGCCAAACTGGCTTGGGCTTGTATAAAGCATTTTAATAACAAGTAAAACAGTTCAGTTTTTTTTTTTCTGTTTTTTTTTAAATTTTATTATTTATTACAAAGGATATTACATATGTGTCCATTTATTCCCCCCGCCCAAGACAGTCCCCTAGCCTCCCCCATCCCCCCAGTTTTTGATGTATTAACTCTAAGATTTATTTTTTATTACTCTTGGGATAGAACTTTGAGACAAAATCGGTAGAGAAGAGTTAGGAAAGATTCATTGTGATATTCTTCAACAACTGTGAAAGGCTACATATTACAACCACTACACATCTTTGATTTAGTCCTTTATCTGATCGTGGTATATTCAGAGCTTAACCCTATATTTATTTATGTTGAGTGCTTTTAATAACCATCTGGGTACCCTTTTTTAAAAAAAATTGATTTTAGAGGTAGAGAGAGAGAGAAATATTAATTTGTTATTCCACCTATTTATGCATTCATTGGTTGCTTCTTGCATGTACCCTGACCAGAGATCACACAACCTTAGCATATTGGGACGATGCTTTAACCAACTGAACCACCCAGCCAGGGCCATCTGGGTACCTTTAAATACTTGAATACATTGCTATCATTTATCTCACATCTGTATAATGAGATGATCTAGTTTATTGTATCTCACTGTTAGGCTCAAAGATGTTCCCTTGATCCTTTTAGACATTTGAAAAAGTTAACTTGGTCTTACCTCTGGCACTCAGCTGACAGCAATTTGGTATTTAGGGCATAATTCATCAGGTTATACTTTATCTTCTTCTAGGGCACATTAGCCCAGGCTGTAAAGAAAGGAGAGTGGATCTTGTTGGATGAGATTAATCTGGCTGCTCCAGAAACATTAGAATGTCTCAGTGGTTTGCTCGAAGGCTCTTCTGGCTCCCTGGTGTTGCTGGATCGAGGGGACACAGGTAGGACTTGAGCCCCTTGGGGTCTGACTTGCTGCCAGGTCTTTGGCCTCATTAGAGTAAGAATCTATTAGTTAGGTGGATTACATGGGCCACCCAATTGGATTTGTTTTTTCCATAGATATTTATTTTCTGTAAATGTCCTATTGTTAAGTGGTATGGGGAATTGAAAGAATACAATAATTTGTCAAGGCATTTGGGTAGTGGGTAATAGACACGCACAATTAGTGGGAAACTATATACTGGAACAGGTGATAAGACATAAACAACAGTGAACCTATAAAAGATAGTGGAATGGTAGCATAAGATTAAGTAGTGTCCATCGGTCTGGAAACTGATTTCAGAAAAGGTGGGGAAGGTTTGAACAACCAGTAACAACTTTGTTGAGCCTGAGGCAGTGTTTTGTTTGACCTGGGTTCCTATGGAGTTAGATAATTTTTCCCTAGGAACCTGTGGCTAATGAATTAATTTTACAAGTTGTTGAGAATTTATAATTTTCTCTTAACAGAACCATTGGTTCGTCATCCTGACTTTCGTTTATTTGCCTGTATGAATCCAGCAACTGATGTGGGCAAAAGAAATCTCCCACCAGGAATAAGAAACAGGTGAGGGGACATGGCCTGATTCTTGGAGGCTTTTTAAAAATTTCTTCTTGCCCTAGCTGGTTTTGCTTAGTGGATAGAGCATTGGTCTGTGGACTGAGAGTCCCGGGTTCAATTCTGGTCAGGGGCACATGTTTGGATTGCAGGCTCTATCCTCAGTAGGGGGCATGCAGGAGGCAGCCAATCAATGATTCTCTCTCATTGATTTTTGTCTCTCTCACCATCTCTCCCCCCTCTCTCCCTCCCTTTTCTGAAATCAATAAAAATATATTTAAAAAAATAAAAAGTTATTATTTATTGATGGGTAATATGAACATAACCAAACCCCGTAACAATGCTTAAAAATTTTTGACCATGGATAGAGAATTTTCCTTGTCTTATTCCTTTAGTTTATATAGGCAATAGAAATATGGAAAACTCCAGAACACTGGAGAATTTTTCCTTTGGGTTGTTAGCATGGCACTTAATGGTTCATGATACTGTTGAAAACAAAAATGTTTCCTTCTTCAAATAGCCTTGTGGCTATTAGAAAAAGTTCACATAATGATACTTATCTATATATATAAAAGCCTAAGTGACCATTACGACTGGTCGACCGATCACTATGACAACGCACTGACCACCAGGGGGCAGATGCTCAATGCAGGAGCTGCCCCCTGGTGGTCAGTGTGCTCCCACAGCCAACCTCCCATGGCTGGCCAACCTCCTGCAGCCCCTCCCCCGAGCTGGCCAGGCCCAGTGACCCCACCCATGCATGAATTCGTGTACTGGGCCTCTCGGCCTATATGATAAAAGCGTAGTATGCAAATTGTCCCCTCGACCAGAGTTCTTCTGGGAGTTTGACCAGAGGGCAGTGGCGGGGCCAGCCAGGGGAAGGGAGGGAGGCCCTGGCAGGCGGCTGCTGCAGGTGGCCTAGGGAAGGGATGGAGTACCCGGCCGGCAACCGGCAGCCACTAGGGACCGTATCAGTGCATGAGTTTTGTGTACTGGGCCTCTAGTCCTATCTAATAAAAGACAAAAAGGGTAATTAACCGTACCTCCGCTACGCTTCCCATTGGCTAATCAGGGCGATACGCAGATTAACTGCCAACAAAGATGGCGGTTAATTTGCATACATAGGTGCCAAGCCACGGACTGAGGCATTACAATCGCTGCTGGCGGCGGCGGTGGGGAGCTGGGGGTGCCCTGCCCAGGCCTAAGGCCTCGGCCAGAGCTGTTAGGTTTGGGCAGGGGCGGAACTGGCGATGGTGGGAGTTGGGGGTCCTCTGCCAAGACCTAACACCTTGGCCAGAGGCGTTAGGCCGGGGCAGGGGCGGAGCCAGCGATTGCAGGGAGCAGGGAGGGAGCTGGTGATCATGGGGAGCAGGGGCTGAGCCTACAAATGAGGGAGCTGGAGGTCCCCTGCCCAGGGCTGATGACTCGGCCAGAGGTGTTAGGCCTGGGCAGGGGCCAAGCCGGCAATTGATGTGATCTACAGAGGAAACACCTTTTCTGACTGCTGAGTGGCTTAGCTCCCTGTATGTCACTGGTAATATTCTTAGTAACTTGGGTAATAAGAGTCCAAATAGGTGACCTAGGGTTTTTTACCACACTCCTGGAGAAAAAAAGGAAAGTCCGCTGCTGGAGGGTTAAGAAATGTCATCTCCTGCCCTAGTGATGGGGCTGGTGCCTTCCCCTGATCAGCCCGGTTACCTCCCACAAAGGGAGGTCAGACTGTGGCTTAGGCCCGCTCCCCAAGGGGAGCAGGGAGTAGGACATCGCCTGAGGGCTCCCAGTATGTGATAGGGGGCAAGCTGGGCTGAGGGACCCCCACATCCAGTGCACAAATTTTTGTGCACCAGGCCTCTAGTAACACTATAATAGCATAAGTGCAAGTTAGCAGCAAAGTCCTCTTGAATGAGGCCAATGATTTGTAAAAGGGCTTTTATTTATTTATTTATTTAAAATATATTTTATTGATTTTTTACCAAGAGGAAGGGAGAGGGATAGAGAATTAGAAACATCGACGAGAGAGAAACATTGACCAGCTGCCTCCTGCGCACTCCCCACTGGGCATGCGCCAGCAACCAAGGTACATGCCCTTGACCGGAATCGAACCCGGGACCCTTGAGTCTGCAGGCCGACGCTCTATCCACTGAGCCAAACTGGTCAGGGCAATTGGTGTTTTATGTATGTAGCACTTAGGAAAAGATAAATGACCTTACTATTGGTAACCTTTTGTTGGGTTTTATGTTTAAAACAGTGTTAAAATTGTATTAGATCTCTGCTCCCATTTATTTTTATTTTATTTTTTTATATATATTTGATTGATTTTTTACACAGAGGAAGGGAGAGGGATAGAGAGTTAGAAACATCGATGAGAGAGAAAAACTGGGGAACATTCAACCCAGGCATGTGTCCTGACTGGGAATCGAACCTTGACCTGGTTCATAAGTCGATGCTCAAATCACTGAGCCACGCCGGCCATGCCCTGCTCCCATAATTGACAGTAATAAAAGCATCTTAAGAAAAATTTATAAACTACAATTATATGTTTTCTTTTGCTGCAACTATTTTATTTTTACTGTGAGGGGCCTTTTTTGTTCCATGTGCTTTTGTGTTTTGTTTTTCAATCCTTACCTAAGGAGTGAGGATGTTTTTTATGTGCCCTTGACTGGGAATCAAACTGGCGACCCCTTGGTCCTTGGTCCAACGCCCCAACCACTGAGTCAAACTGTCCAGAGCTATTCTAGGTATTTTTTATTACATGTACTTATGATGAAATACACCTGAAAATGAAGATAACTAAGTCTTATTTTTGTAGCTGTAAGGACTATAAATAGAATACTTGAATCCAAGAAGAAATAATGGTAGATTTTTGTGAAAGGCGAAAGATTTATGCGATCTGAACAGAAACCAGAGTATAATAATGGTAGATTTTTTGTAAAAGTTAGATTATTTTTTATTTTGTATGGTCAGTCTATATCTCAAGTTGGAAGGGTTATATTTTATATTAGAAACAATTAAAATGAGTTTACTTGACTTTTGTTTTTCATTTTTTATTGTCAGAATAGTTGTATTAACTTCCTAAATATGGTTGTTATCTATAATAATAAAAGCATAATATGCAAACTGACTGAATGGCTGAACAGAAGAATGACCATCTGGACGGTTGTCTGGACGACCTTCTGGATGAAGCCAGGGCTGCAAGGGCTGAGCCCCTTGCATGAATTTCGTGCATCGGGCCTCTAGTATAATAATAATTGTCTTACAGGTTTACAGAACTTTATGTAGAAGAACTGGAAAGTAAAGAAGACTTACAAATTCTTATTGTGGATTATCTGAAAGGACTGAGTGTGAGCAAGAGCACAGTGCAAGGAATCATAAAGTAGGTGGTTTCCAGGTTCTATTTATAAACCTTTCCTCTGAGCATAAAAAGTGTGCCTCATTCATATAATTGTTTCCTTTTTTCTTCTTTTTGCTTCTAACTGGAGAAAACTAATGGAAAGATTATTATTTAAATGTCTGTTTTAAAGTTGGAACCTTATGAAGTCTCTTCGATTTTCCTAATAAAAGAAAGAATATATAGATAGATTGTAAATATTCCAGTTAAAGCCCATTTGAATAAGAACTTGGGTTTTATCTGTGACACTTCCTTGGTTATATTTGATTTTGTGGTAGCTGGTCATAAATTTCTTGCACTTTATATTTCAGTCTAAAACTTTTTCCATCTTGTCATCTTCTAATTTTTTAAAAAATATTTTTATTATTGATTTCAGAGAGGAAGGGAGAGGGAGGGTGTGCAGGAGGCAGCTGATCTCTCTGTCTCCCCTTATTTTAAAATTGATTTTTTAAATCAATTTTAAAAAATCACCTGAAGTGCGTCCTTTTTGTAGCTTCTACAGAGATGTGCGGAAAGAGTCTGGGAGAACATTGGTGGACGGGACTGGCCATAGACCTCACTACAGCCTTCGGACTCTCTGCAGGGCCCTGCGATTTGCAGCCTCCAATCCGTGCAGCAACATCCAGCGTTCACTCTATGAGGTCTTTCCACAGTCTGGGTTTGGGTGTAGTGTTGTGGATGGGCTCACCGTGGGGAAGGAGGGAGTAGAGATGCATATTCCAGATTTGCTATACTTTCCATTTAGTCAGGTTACCCAGAATATTTTATACCAGAGCTACCCTAAGCTTTTTTCTACCATGATATTAAAAGTTGTTCTGCAAACCAGCCCCACCCACACGGTGGCATTTTGTTTTTGAAATAAGTTGTCCTGCAATAATTGGTGTTATGTATCTCTGTGTTTTTCCTAGGGCTTTTGTTTGGGTTTCCTAACACAGCTTGACAGGGCATCTCACCCAATAGTTCAGAAGCTTATTTGTCAACACATTGTCTCTGGCAGTATTAAAAGTTTGCTGAAGCAGGTATGTTTGTTTGTTTTGACTTGTTTAATAAATGAAAGGCTATATTATAAAATTTCGAACTGTTTGGTTTTTTATAAATCTTGATTCTAATTGTAAATCTGTTTCAGAAAGTTAAATCATAGATGGTAAACATTCCCAATAATCTGCCCTGGCTTGTGTTGCTCAGTGATCAGAGCTTTAACCCAAGCACTGCAAGGTCTTGGTGTGCGATTCCCAGGCAAGAGCACTTACCTGGTTTGCAGGTTCGATCTTCAGTCCTGGTCAGGGCACATGCTGGAGGCAATCAATCAATGTGTCTCTCACATTGATGTCTCTCTTGCCCTTCCCTCTCTTCCATTTCTCCCCCCTCCCTTCCACTCTCTCTAAAAATCAATGGAAATATATTCTTGGGTAAAGGATTAACAAACCAAAAAAATTTCCCAGTAAGCCTACTCTTTGGAGATTTAAACCTTGTAGACAGTCCTTTCCATCTGAAATGACCCTGGCTGGTGTGGGTGTTTTTTGGTGTATGGTTCCATACACCAAAAGGTGGCAGGTTCAATTCCCAGTGAGGGCACATACTTGAGTTGTGGGTTGGATCACTGATCAGGACAAGTGCAGGAGGCAGCCGATTGATGTTTCTCTCTCACATTGATGTTTCTCTGTGTGTGTGTGTCTTTCTCTCTTTTATTCTCTCCCTTCTTCCCTCTAAAATCAATTTTATGTGTGTACATTTGTCCATGTAAATCCTAATATGTATCTAGTTAAATTACATAAATGGGACCATTTCATAAGAATGTTCTGTAGTCTCCTTTCTTAGCCTCAATAGAGTGTAGCTTCTAGTCAAGGGACTAAGTGTACTGGAAGAGCACTTTTTCGTAGTTGTAAACTTGACCACTAAGCATTTTGTTCCATAAAAATAGCAATTTTGAGTAAATCAACTTAATAACTTTTACCATATCTTTAAAAGATTGCAATATTATTCACAATGTCATCTGTAATAGAGTAGCTTCTTGGGGGGTGGGGGGTGGTGTCGCTTTTATTTTTAAAGCCTTCCGGGGGATCCAGATGAAATAATGCAAAGCCCCCCTGTGTACAACACTAACCCTATTTTGGGGAATATGGTTTATATGAAATAAATGTTTTTGACCAATATACTTCAGAGTGGAGGTTTTAATAGGCAAGAGAAGAGAACTGAATCATAAACTGAGAAACTATTTTGATTCAAATTTTCCCCCATATTCACCTAACTCCGCCTTAATTTAAAAACCTGTACTTGTTATTATCTTCTTCTCATTTCTCAAAGTAATTTTATTTTCATATTTCACCCATGGGTTTTAATGTTGAAAGCATCCAGAACAGGGCAGCATTCTTGGTGACAACTTCTTTTCCCGCTTTACCACCCTATCTGAAAGAATGCCATAGTTGCCATGGAACTGTGGCTTATTTCTTTAATTTTTGTGTCTTTCAGCCTATTCCAGAACCCAAAGGAGGACGGCTTATCCAGGTTGAAGGCTACTGGATTTCGATGGGAGACAAGGAACCTACAATTGATGAGACATACATTCTCACATCTTCCGTCAAGCTGAACCTGAGAGATATAGTCCGAGTGGTCTCTGCAGGGTATGTGGAACTTTCTCTGCTGATCTGAAGTTTTATCATCATAGACGTTGATGACTTTCTAGTCTTCACTTTCAAAGTGCTTTATTGTTATTCATTGGCTAAATGAACTGTCACTTTTCTTCTGGCACAAACCATTTTTTCTAGTTGCACTTTTAGTGAGGACAATATGGATTCAGATTATTTTGGCCATCTTTGAGGTTTGCTTTTCAGTATTTTGTTGATGAATACTCATCACCCATTATTTATTGAGTAACAGATAGTCCCACTTATTGTTTCTCACAAGTAGTACAATAGAGGTTGGAATTTTTCCTTAGTATTTTCTTAAGAACCATTTTTATATAGAAGTTTCCCAGGGCTTAAGAAACATTTCCATTAGTAGTATATAGATATATAAAAATGTTCTTTTATAATGATGTTAAATGATATAGTCATTCTTTTTAAAAACTACTTGATTAATTCTGGTTTTTATCTTTTTTTCTTTAAATGCTTTGTTGGCTGATCTTTTAAAGAACCTATCCAGTGCTGATTCAGGGGGAGACATCAGTTGGTAAAACCAGCCTGATCCGGTGGCTGGCTGCAGCTACTGGTAACCACTGTGTGCGTATCAATAATCACGAACACACGGATATTCAAGAGTACATCGGTTGTTACACATCTGATTCCTCAGGGAAGCTTGTGTTTAAAGAAGGTAGGGTTATTATTTTGTTGCATGTGTGTAGGTGTTCATTCTTTTAGACCCATTTCCCCAAGTATTCTTTACCCTTTCCAGTTGAGGCGTGCGGACTGCTGCCATTGTGCTGGTTTTTCTTTCTCCCTGAGCTGCGTGGTGGTGAAGGAGTGATGGTTTGGGGTCCAGCTCTCTTTGGGCCCCACTGAAATCTTTTCAGCTATAGGTGGGACTAGCACCAAGTTTTGAAGAGTGTAGTTGAACTTCTACTTCATTTCCTAGAGTCTCAAGAGAATGGGGTGAGCACTGAACAGAAGGAAGCTGAGGGTTGATATAAAAATATGGTGATATAAATAAAATTAAGCTGCAGGGGGGAAAATAAGTTGGAAATGTGATATTTGTCAGTGTTGACTCCCCTTCTGTATGAAATAGGGCTATTTTAATGGAAAATTGTGCTTCTTTGATATTCAACATCACAAATTACTTGGGTGGTTTGCTTTGAAATTTAATAGTAGTAACCTAGGATTTGTTGATTTATGTACAACTTTTGACTAATGTATGTACTAATTCTCTGTTTATTTCTTCCAAGGTGTTCTTATTGATGCTATGAGAAAGGGCTACTGGATTATTTTAGATGAATTGAATTTGGCCCCTACTGATGTGTTAGAGGCACTGAACAGACTGCTAGATGATAATCGTGAATTGCTCATAACAGAAACACAGGAAGTTGTTAAAGCTCACCCTCGGTTCATGCTCTTTGCTACCCAGAATCCCCCAGGACTTTATGGAGGCAGAAAGGTGTGTAGCATTTCCCTCCTACTCTTACTTGTTACTGCCTTGAGTCGTAAATCTTTCTTGGAAAGACTGAAATTTTTTACCTCTTTTGAAGGGTCTTTTTTTTTTTTTTTTTTTTGTGGTGAGTAGCAGAGCCTCCATTTTGTAGGAGCTTGCTTTCTTTTCCTTTTTAAAACAATTTAAAAAAATTTTTATAAGCGTTTATTTGAGCCCAAACTGACCTTATGGAGAGCAGTATCTCAAATGCTTTTTTTCCTTAGGTGCTTTCCAGAGCCTTCAGGAATCGGTTTGTGGAATTGCACTTTGATGAATTGCCAAGTTCTGAGTTGGAAACAATCTTGCACAAGCGGTGTAGTTTGCCACCCTCTTACTGCAGCAAGTTGGTTAGAGTCATGCTGGACCTTCAGGTAGATTATCTCTCCATCCCTGAACTTAGTTTCTAATGGAATGTGTTGATTAGACTTGGTCAAATTTGATTGGTTACTCGGGTAGAAACAGCAGATCACCCATTTATTACTTTTTACTGAGTAAGGACCTTGTCTTAATGATGCATTCCATTAATGTTTTTTGGCTGTGTTTTGTCAGTCAACAATTTAATATGTTAAAAAAATTTTCTGATAGTTATATGTGATGATTGTTTTTTTGTTTGTGAATAATAGTGGAACATTTTGTTTAGGTTCGTTTGGCATAAACAAACTGTAGTTTTGTTTTTTATATGGATACTAGAGCCCCGGTGCACGGAATTTGTGCACGGGGGGAGGGGGATGTCCCCCCTCAGCTCGGCCTGCACCCTCTCGTAGCCTAGGGACCCCTCGTTCCTTACCACCCACTTGCTTGCTGCTCCTTAGCACTGCCATGGAGCTGGGAGAGGCTCTGGCTGAGTGGCACTCCCCCTATGGGAGCGCACTGACCACCAGGGGGCAGCTCCTATGTTGAGCGTCTGCCCCCTAGTGGTGGTCAGTGCACATCATAGCATCCAGTAGTTCCACCATAATGGTCACTGAGTCTTTTATTATATAGACTAGAGGCCCGGTGCACAGAAATTTGTGCACTCGCGGGGGGAGGGAAGGGTCCCTCAGCCTGGCCTGTGCCCTCTCGCAATCTGGGACCCTTTGGGGGATGTCCACCTGCTGGCTTAGGCCCGTTCCCCGGGGAATCGGGCCTAAGATGGCAATCAGACATCCCTCTGGCAGCCCAGCAGCCCTTGGGGGATGTCCACTTTCCTGCAGGGAGCAGACCTAAGCTGCAGTTGGACATCCTTAGCGCTGCTGAGGAGGCAGGAGAGCCTCCCACCACCACCGCTGTACTGGCAGCCATCAGCCTGGCTTCTGGCTGAGCAGAGCTCCTCCCATGTGAGAGCGCTCTGACCACCAGAGGGCAGCTCCTGTATTGAGCGTCTGCCCCCTGGTGGTCAGTGTGTGTCATAGTGGCCAGTCATTCCCAGTCCTTCTGCTGTTAGGGTCAGTTTGCATATTACCCTTTTACTATATAGGTAATATGGTGCACAGGTGGGGGCCGGCTGGTTTGCCCTGAAGGGTGTCCCAGATCAGGGTGGGGGTCCCGCTGGGGTGCCTGGCCAGCCTGGATGAGGGGATGATGGCTGTTTGTAGCTGGTCATACCCGCTTCAGGGTGGGGGTCCCCACTGGGGTGCCAAGCCAGTCTGAATGAAGGGCTGAGAGTCATTTTCAGGTTGGCGGGTGACTGAAGCTCCCAATCTCTCCTTTTTTTTCTTTTTATTCTGGGATTTATTTACCTTCTATGGCTGTCACTGGAACTGAGAGCCGGCTTTAGCTCTGAGGCTCAGCTCCAGCTCTGAGACCTCGGCTGTTGAAAGCAGGTATCTGGGTTTGTTTGGCTTCTATAATTGAAACACTGTTGCAGCTCCAGCTCTGAGGCCCGGCTGGCTGAAAGCAGGTTTCTGGGGTTTGTTTAGCTTTTATAATTGCAACATTGTTTTTTAGAGTGCAGCTCAGAGGCCGGCAGTGGCAGGCAGGGAACCTTGCCTTCCTCCATCATTGGAGCAAGCAAGCCTCCTGTTCGCTTCAGCTGCCTGGCTGCCGGCCACCATCTTGGTTGGCAGTTAATTTGCAAATTGCCCTGATTGGCCAATGGGAAGCATGTCGGAGGTACGGTTAATTACCATGTTTGTCTATTATTAGATAGGACTAGAGGCCTGGTGCATAAAAATACGTGCACTTGGTGGGGCGGGGGGGCATCCTCAGCTCGGCCTGCACTCTCTTGCAGTCCAGGAGCCCTTGGGGGATGTTTGGCCGACAGCTTAGGACCTCTCCCTGTGGACATTCCTGTGGAAGTGCACTGACCACCAGGGGACAGCTCCGGTCCTACCCCACATCGCCCCCCCCCCCAGTTGCCACTGCTCCCTGATCGCCACCCCCTCCCTTTGCCTGCTGGCACCTGCCTTGGCTGGCCTGGCGCCGCCCGCTTGCAGGCCTTGCCCACTAGTCATTCCACCAATTGTCGATTTGCATATTAGGCTTTCATTACATAGGACTATAGGCCCAGTGCACGAAATTTGTGCATGCGGTGGGGGTCTCCTCAGCCCAGCCTGCACCCTCACCAATCTGGGACCCCCTCGGAAGGTGTCTGACTGCCTCTCACAATTCTGGACTACTGGCTCCCAGTCACTCACCTGCCTGCCTGCCTGGTCGCCCCTAACTGCCCCCCCCTTGCCACCCTGATCGCCCCTCACTGCCTCTGCCTGCCTGCCTGGTCGCCCCTACCTGCCTCCCACTGCTGGCCACGTCGCCCTCAACTGCCCCCTCTCTGCTGGACTGGTTGCTCCTAACTGCCCACCCCTGCTGGCCTGGTCACCCTCAACTGCCCTCCCCTGCTGGCCTGTTCCCCCTCAACTGCTCTCCCCTGCAGATGTGGTCCTCCCTAACTGCCCTCCCCCCAACTGCCCTGCTCCCCCGCTGGCCTGGTTGTCCCTCACTAACCCCCCGTCGGCCTGGTCATCCCACGCAGCCTGCTTGTTCAGTCGTTCCTCACTAACCCCCCTGCCAGCCTGGTTATAGGCAGCCATCTTGTGAGGGCATGATTGCAATTTGCATATTACCTCTTTATTATATGGGATGTTCCTTGAATGGACATAATTGAAGGGACTCTTTTTGTGTGGCACTCCCTTGTTAAATGCAGAGCTACAGTTGTCTTTTTTTTTTCTTTCTTCTCTTTCTCCTCTCCCCTTCACCCCCAAAATATCCCATTTAATTTATGGGGTTAACAGTATTTATCAGAATTATGCACTGTCAAATTACTTTTCTGAATCATTTTCACTACTATGGTCCCACATTATGGGATTAATTTTCCTGCATGTTTGCCCACATTTGTATTTGTGATTTTTTTCTGTATGGCATAGGAGATGGAATGCCGTTGTTTATTTACATTCTTTTACATGAGTTTGTATTTTTCTTCAAATGTTTACACCCCACTTTCACTTTAAAAAATTAATTTTAATGGAATGAATAATTTTTATGGGAGCTTAAATTTATTAAAATTTTTATGTATGGCCCTAAGCGGTTTGGCTCAGTGGATAGAGCATCAGCCTGCGGACTGAAGGGTCCCAGGTTCGATTCCGGTCAAGGGCATGTACCTTGGTTGTGGGCACATCCCCAGTGGGGGATGTGCAGGAGGCAGCTGATCGATGTTTCTAACTCTCTATCCCTCTAGGATCCTCTCTGTAAAACATCAATAAAATATATTTTTTTAAAAATTTTATGTATGTTTTACTATATGCTTGACATTGTTCTTTGCCATTTGTTTTCATACATTAATAGTCCAAACGCAGAAGTTCTTCAGTGTTTGCTGGAAAGCAGGGCTTCATCACCCTTCGAGACCTGTTTCGATGGGCTGAGAGATACCGATTGGCTGAGCAGACCAAGGAGGAGTACGACTGGCTACAGCACTTAGCCGACGATGGTATGCTTTCAATCATCTCTCAAACTGTGACATTCTATCAAATGTCAGCCTTTTTTTTTTTTTTATTAAAACAATCCTCACCCAAATTATGATCAATATGTAGATTTTACTAGGTACTCCACGAACTGAGCCTTCTCCCTTAATTTCCAACTGCTTTTGAAAGTGCTGTTATTTCTCCAGGCCTCTGTACTAATACGTTTTGGTTTCTTAGGTGTTCTCATTTCCTTCAGGTGGCCACATGTAAGAGTCAGGATATGGCCACAATACTGTTAGTTTTTTAGGCAGGTGGTTGGTGAGGTCTTTTGGACCATTTGTCTGCAATTTGGTGCCTGTGGAGCGGCGTGCTGTGCCTTAGAGTCAGAGAACTGACTGGTCAGATAATATCAGAGTTCTGAGAGAAGGCAGTGATGTCACTTGAGACTCAGGATTGGTCATACAGGTTTAATCCATGGGAAGAATCTATATGTTCTTTCTAATAGAAAATACTTCAGAATATTCTGATTTGAAAGGTGCTAATGAGTCCTTAATGGGTTAGTTATTAAGCAAGGTGAGTAAATAAAACTAGCCCATAAGAATTGTAATGTCTTTTCTTTCCTGATTAAGAATAGGTAGAAGGAGGAACACATTTAAAAACAAACAAACAAAAAACACCTTTTAAATTCAAATATAACCTATGGTAAAGTGGGTGAAGCACTCTGTTATATCATGTACAGCTTGATATCATGTAAATCACTACCTACGTCAATGTTTAGAATACTAGTACCAAAGAAGAGTCCTTCATGGCTCTTGTCAGTTTTCCTTCCCTTGGAGGTAACCACTGCTTTGATATTGATCACCACTGATTGATTTTTCCTGTTCTTGAGCTTCATCTTAATAGTATCATGAAGTATGCATTCTGAGTCCGGCTTCTTTTCACTCTCTAATGTAAGATACAGCAATGTTGTTACATGTATCAGGACTTCATTAAAAAAAAAGTTACTGTTATAACCCTTTTATATGGAGATACCATAATATGTTTAGCCATTCTCTGGTTGATGGATATTTGGATCCACTGTTTAGCTATTATGAATAAAAATGCCTGAACATTGATGTCTATGTCTTTTGGTGCACAAGTGTTCATTTTTGTTTGAGTCTCCTTAGAATTCATGTTGCTGGAGCATAAGGCAGCCATATGGTTAGGTGAGAGTTGCTATTGCTTTATATTCTCAGCATCCCTTGGTATTGACACTTGATGGTTCTTCATTTTTATTTATTTTTTAAGGTTATATGCTTCTGGCAGGCCGAGTCAGGAAACAGGAGGAGGTTGATGTGATTCAAGAAGTCCTTGAAAAACATTTCAAGAAAAAATTGTGTCCTCAATCCCTCTTTTCCAAAGAAAATGTCCTAAAATTGCTGAGTGAGTAGGCTAAAATATCCAGAGGAGAATGAATTGAGTTATACTCATATTAGAACCTAAATATTTATTCTACCTTTGATAGGTAAATTGTCTACTCAGAAATCCACATTGGAGTCCAAGTTCAGCCATATCGTGTGGACTGAGAGCATGCGGAGACTGGCCGTGCTGGTGGGAAGAGCATTGGAATTCAGTGAACCAGTGCTGTTGGTTGGAGACACTGGGTAAAGTTCTGTGACAATAACTGGTTAGGGGGGTTCAGTTCAATTCCATAGGATTACTTGAGTTATCTCTGAAGGACTCATCAGGAAAGCAATCTTTGTTGTTTTTTTATTTTTTAAAAATATATTTTATTGATTTTTTACAGAGAGGACAGAGAGGGATAGAGAGTTAGAAACATCGATGAGAAACATCGATCAGCTGCCTCCTGCACACTCCCCACTGGGGATGTGCCTGCAACCAAGGTACATGCCCTTGACTGGAATCGAACCTGGGACCCTTCAGTCTGCAGGCTGATGCTCTATCCACTGAGCCAAACTGGTCAGGGTGATCTTTGTTTTTTCTTTTTCTTTTGTTTTCTCCTCTCCCCCTTCCTTCCCCCTCCCCCTTTTTTTTATGAAAAGGGCTGATTGGCATTTAATTAATTAGTTGTCTTTTTAAAATTTTTTATTTAATCATCATCTGAGGATATTTGTCCTTTGATTTTTAGAGAAAGTGGAAGAGAGAGGGAAAGACAGAAGTATAATATAAGAGAAACACATCAATTGGTTGCCTCTTGCATGAGCCCTGACTAATGCTTGGCCTGGGGAGGAGTCTGCAACCAAAGTATGTGCCCTTGACCGGAATCGAACCTGGGACCTTTCAGTCCGCAGGCCGATGCTCTATCCACTGAACCAAACCAGCTAGAGCTCTCCCTTTTTAAAGAAGCAGTAAGGGTTCTAATATTGTTTCTTTTCCTCTACCTTTAGACCTTTGTGATGGAAAAGAATGGGTCTTTTAAAAATTTTTATTGATCGATTTAGCGAGAGAAAAGGAGAGAAATATTAATTTGTTCCACTTACGCATTCATTGGTGGATTCTTACCAAGGCAATTGAGCCCGAAACTTTGGAGTATCAGGATGATGCTCTAACTGAACTACCCAGCCAGGGCTAATTTTTTTCTATTCAATTATTTTAAACAGTGTCATCTGTTTTATAGATTTGTATAGTTGAATAGCACATGAGTTAGTGTGTCTTGAAAGTCTGTAACGATTGGCTTTCTTTCCCATCCCTTGGTGGTGGTTGGTAGGAGTAGAAAAGGATGGAATTCATGCTATGTTGTGCCATTCTGGATAAGGAATATGGCAGGGTGCTGGTGTTTTGGGGAAGTAGGCCCCAGGCCAGGGGTACAGACATCCTGTGTTGGCCAGCAGGGTCTGCTGTTGTAGTGAGGCTCTCACCAGGGTCCGCCTCTTTTGCTGACTTGGTGTTTGTGGGTGTGTATTTAGAATTCATGCTCCTTGTTAATCTGGTGTGTATCTCTGACAGGTGTGGGAAAACGAGTATCTGTCAGGTGTTTGCAGCCTTGGCAAATCAGAAATTATACTCAGTCAACTGCCACTTACACATGGAGACTTCTGACTTCCTGGGCGGGCTGCGGCCGGTGAGACAGAAGCCAAAGGACAAGGTTTGTCCAATAGCAAATGATGATGTGTACATTCATTTAAAGGATGCAGTTAGCTCTGTGCCCTAGTCAACTGTGGAATTTTGTGCCTCATAGGGCTTTGATTCCAGGTTTGATATGTATCTTCATATTTTCACTGGTCTGCAAGGGCTTCATGAGCATCCTATTGTGTAGCATGTGTTCCTGGTTCTCAGACCTTTACTTTCTGGCAGAATGACCACTTCACTCCAGCAGACACCAGCTAGCTACATGTGTGTTGTCTTGTGGACACCTGGCCTTTAATTTCACCTCCTTTTCCAAATTGTAGGAAGAAATTGACACATCTCGGCTCTTTGAGTGGCATGATGGGCCTCTGGTTCTGGCCATGAAGGAGGGCAGCTTTTTCCTCTTGGATGAGATCTCACTGGCTGATGACTCTGTCCTGGAAAGACTCAACAGGTGCAGTCCCTGTGTTTGATGTTTTTGCTGGTCTTGTGTTTATAGATACTAATTTTTGTGCATAGTAGTATTCCTCTTAGGTGCATAGTAAATATTTGAAAATAATAATGAGTTATTACTTTTTTTGGCTTTAGCACTGGGGATCTCTTCTAAGGAGCCTGCTTTTTCTGTCTTGCTGTCAATAATTGGGGAGATGGCTGGGCTAAAACAAATGAGGCTAAGTTAAAATTCTTTTTTAAGGCAAATTATATGGCCAGTGTCTTAATTTTTTTGAAGAACTAGAATCAGCATCCTAGATATTATGGCTGTCAGGCCTCTCAAAACCTCAGACCAATATGAGTCTTGATGTATACCTGTTTTTCTCTCTTTATTGAGGTACTAGAGGCCCAGTGCATGAAATTCGTGCACGGTTAGGGTCCCTAGGCTTGGCTGGCGATCAGGGCCGATCAGGTTCCCCACCTCCTTACCTCCTTCTTCTATCACTGCCAATGCGCTGCCACCGTGTGATTCCCCACCTCCCCACCGCCTCCTTCCCTCACTGCCAGCATACTGTCACTGCGTCATTCCCCACCTACCTGCCTCCTCTTCTCTCGCTCCCTCAGTGCCCCACCACCGCTGCTGGTCCCCCACCATGTTCTGCGCCGCCCCCTGATGGTCAGCGCATGTCATAGCGAGTGTTTGAACTCCCAGTCGAACTCCCGAGGGGACACTTTGCATATTAGCCATATATATATATACATATATATATATGGCTATAGGTAGTAATTTGCATATCGTAAAATGCACTCATTTTAAATGTATACTTCAATGAGTTTTAGTAAATCTGTTTTGCAACCACCACAATCCAGTTATTTAGTTTGACAACAATTCCATCATCTCAGTAGGATCCCTCATGCCCATTTAAAGTTTCTCTCTGATGCCACTTATTGCTACTAATCTATTTGTTTGTCTCTAGATTTGTCTTTTCAGGACATTTCATGTAAATGGTCTCATTTTGCATTAATATTTTGAGCTTCATCCATGTTGTAGCCTGTTAGTAATGTGTTTCTTTTTATTCCTAATAGTGTTTCATTGTGTGAAGGCACCATATTTTTATCTATTCACCACTTGGTGGCATTGGGAGTGTTTCTACTTTTATGAATAATTCTGCCATGAACATGTGCATGCAACACTCTTATTTTTAAAACAAATGCTGCAATAGCATAAGTGGAAAAGGGAGTTCTTTTTCTTTTAATCACAGATATTGTTCCATCACACAGCTATTGGATAATGAGGCATTTTAAAATGTGTTGTAGGAAACCATTAACTAAAGTGAAAGCTCAGCAGAGGAGATAACTTTCTTTTTCCTTTTTTTAAGTTAGTTTTTTAAAAAATATATATTTTCATTGGTTTCAGAGAGGAGGAGAGAGGGAGAGAG